GCGCCTTGTATTTGTCGATGGAGCCATCAGCCAGGGTCTTGATGCGGAAGACCCTCTTGCCGCTGAGAAATTTCCTTCCCTTTGCCGATGACCGAGGGACTAGCTTCCAGGTGCCACGCTTTTTCAGCGACGCGACCTCTACGGCCATGGCTGCTATCCACTTCTCGCTGTCGGGGCCAGATAGAGCCTGGCGAACAGTTGTTGGTTCCTTGGGAGAGTCGTGGCGAACAGCGACAGCGAGACAGAGAACGCGGAGGCCGGTTTTGTTGGTCTTTTTGTAGTGGAGGCGGTCGTAGTCGTGGAGACTGGTAACTTCAACTACGTCATCGTCACTTTCGTTGCCGAGGCGGAGAGTGTCTTGCGAGGTGTTGGGTTGTGGTAACTCTGCATTCGGGGATCGTCGTGCCTCACTGGTATAGTTGTGGGCTTTGCAAGTTGTATCATCCGGATCGAATTGGTGTACAGGAATGAAGGTTGGAGTTCGGAGCGGGCTTGTAAGGGGGATGCTGGGTGCTGTATCCATTGGGGTGACATCGGTTGCGTCTGCATCTTCTGCCAGGTCAGCTTCGTCGTGTGACGTGGCAAAGCTGCGATGTCCCTCGAAGACCTTCTCTGGCGCCTTGTCAGCTTCCCGGTGCTCCTTGAACAGTGGCAGGGTCAGCTTCTCGTAGAAGATGCAGTCACGTGATTTCGTCACTTTGTGTGCCGTGTAGTCCAGTACGATCCACGTCTTGTATTCCTTTTCAATTCCGAGGTGGATCCCCCATCGTGCCCGATCAGAAAACTTTCCGGTCCTTGCAGTGTGGGGTCTGTACTGTACCATGCAGCCGAACACCCGGAGCAGACGCGTGTCCGCTTTTCTGCCCGTCCATGCCCTGTAAGGGGAATTGTTGTTTTCGAGACTTCGGGAGGACAGCAAGTTGTGCAGCCGAACAGCGTGATTCATCGCAAACGGCCAATATTTGGTTGGGATGGCCGACTGCTTCATCAGAGCCCTCATCCGTGTAGCGAGGCTCCTGTTTGTCCGTTCTGCTACTCCTTGTTGCTCGTGAGCGTAGGGCAGGGACACCAGGTGCTCAATCCCCTTCTGCTTGAAGAGTTCCTTGAACTCTGTTGAGAAAAATTCCAGACCCCCGTCTGTTTGGTAGCTCTTCAGCTTCAGCCCTGATTGACGCTTAGCCCGCTTCATCCATGCCACGAAGCACTCGAAGGCAAGGGAGCGTCAGTCGGTGTTAATGGCCCAGACGTAGCGCGTGCATGCGTCGATGAAAGTGAGCGTGTAGTGTTCACCGTCGAGCCCTTCCTGGCTGAGGATCATGAAGTCGCTGTAGACCTTGTCCAGTGGCTTGTATCGCTCGTATCCCGGAGGTAAGTCGGGAAACGGCTTGTGGGTGAGCGACGCTGTTGGGCAGATGTGCACGTTGGGTCAACTGAGTCCGCGGTGAGAGAACCGTTTCGAGGCAGGAGTAGCGCGCCGTCGTCGAAGACTCCCGCCTTAAGTGAGTTTTTCATAGTAACGTGTGAGGGGTGTCTGAGTCGCTGGTGCCAGGTTTCAGGATCCGCACGATAGCCGACAATCTTCTCATAATATTTGTGCCGCGCTGATGCATCGTCCGGCTACTTTCCACGGCCCGTGTCAGTGGCGGTGTCGGCGTCAGTTGCAAAGGCTCTCACAGAGTTGTACTCCAGGAGGAAGTGCGGGATTCCGATGATGTCATCAGTGTCTGCGACATCAACTGGCTTGCCCGTGACGAGCAGATGCATTGACGGTGGCGGCTTCGGCTTTGGCCAATCGTGGGTGGGGAGTCCCGTCATTGGAATCCGAAAGTAACTGTATTCAGCACCGATGACTTCAATTTCTTGCGGCCCTTGCTCTGGTGATGGCGGTTCCTCCGTAGGTTCCGGTAATTCCGCTGCTTCTCCCAAAAATTCGTAGGTTACTTCTTCTTCTGACTTCTCCGCTGTTGGCTGTGGTGTGTCAGGAGCGTATTGATCGGGAAGAGGAGGACCTCCCCAGCTGGTACCACGAGTTGCCCAGTATGGGTCGACCGCTGCTACCTCCACGGGAGGAAGTCCCGTAGCTTCATCGTAGTTTCGCGGGCCCCATCCTTCTCCGGCTCAGGTTCCCCAGCCGCCACCAGCGGTCTCTTCTTCTCGCAGAGCCGTGTCGGCGCCCCATCCGGTTGCCGCTGCTTCTTCAGTCGAGACGGCGCCCCATCCACTTGTGGCTGCTTCTTCTAGAGTCAGAATTTCTCCCCAAGGGCCAAGCGCGGGCTCGGGAATGCCCCAACCCGTTCTAGTTGCCGTGCTTTCTCCGGTGGTTGGTGCTGCAGGTGTTGACGTACCGCTGCCTTCTTCCATTGTGGCAGGTACAGTTTCTGCAGGAGTGGAGTTCGAGGCGGTTGGAACGGTACGTAGGCGTAGGAGACCGTCAGAAGCAGGTCGTTCAAGGTCCATTTCCGTAGGGTGGGACCACGTCGGCGGTTCCGTGGGAGTTGTATTCAACAGCAGCGTGTGGTCAGAATCGCCAGTGGTACCTTGGGCTGAGAACTGCAGCACGAAGACTCCGTCATCGTCTGTTGCCTTGCCGATGTAAGTGTTATTGCAGAATAGCTCGAAGGTTTTGTCCTTGCGATTGCTGCGAATGTCAACTCCGCACCGCATGAGTTGTGCCGAGGAGAGCAGGTTGTACTGCAGGTCTGGAGAGACGAGCACGTCTCCGATGTGAATGGTGAATTTCGTGTCATCGGCCTCAAGGTAAATTTCACCAATGTCGTATGCCTTCATTTTGCCGTTGTTGGCGACTGTGATTTCGCATGGTCGTCCCATGCGCCGTGAGTTGGTGATGAACGCTGGGGAACCCACCATGTGTTGTCCGCAACATCTGTCAAGGTACCAGGTGTTGATGCTCTCATGGCTCTGGCGCGCGATGTTGGCGATTCTTGGCGTGACAACGCAGTCAAAGTCGTCGGTGAACGGTGAGAGAGCGAGGTACCTATTTGCGGAGATGCTGGGAGGAGATTCCGGTGTTGGAGGAGGCAACTCGAAATCAGGTGGGATGTTGGATGGACGATCGATCCAGTTGAAGGTGGTTGGATCGTTGTTTGGACTAGGCGTAATGGGGTTGATCGGCGCGATAGGCGGATATGCGCCGTTGTCGTAGTATCGACCTCCTTTGCGACGCGCCATGCAACTCATGATTGTCCCCTTGCCTTTGTCTTTCATTGTGATTGAGCAGGAGTTTGGGAGGTGCTGGAGACGGAGGGAGGTGATATGGTTGAGGTCGCGGCAGGAGGCGACGACTGTGCCGAAGGTTGCTGGCCGGAGGAGTTACGCCTCTTGTCAGCGGCCTTTCGTTTGTAGCACTGATCGATGGAGTGGCCGGGCTTCTTGCAGTATTTGCAGAACATTCCCTTCTTTCCACGTTGCTCCCCTTGAGATCCTCCGGCGAAGAAGACTAACTTCTCCCGTTTGACGTTCTTCTCATTGTACAGGTCAATCTCCTTTTTCTCGGGAAGGAGTGTGGCACACAGAGCAGACTCCGAAATCGTTGCTCGAGCGCGGAGCAGTGACTGACATTGTCGCCAGTCGGGGCCGAGACCCGAGATGACCATTGAGATGAACATGTCGTCGGGAACGGTTCCGCCGCACCTTTTGACGTGATCGCGCAGATTGCGGCACCGGTTGACATACGATCCTGCTTTCTCCCCTTGTCTCATTTTGACCGAAGTCAGCTGACTGAGCAGGCGACTCATTGTGACTGGATCTGTTGCCATGTATGAGTTGCACAGGTGTTCCCAGGAAGCTTGCACAGGAGCCCACTCTATCTTGTAGGGACGAATGCCGAGCTGTTCTTCGAGAGAGAGATTTTGAAGGAGAGCGGTGTACGCGAGGAGGGATTCGTGGTAGTATTGGTGCTTTTCCTGGATGGTTCCTTCGGAAGGAAAAGGTAAGCTTCCGTCGTAGTACATCCAGATTTGAGCGGTTGTTGCGAAAAACTCAAATTCGAAGCTCCACGTGTAGAAATCCTTGCCGTCAAAGGGGATCGAGGTCTTCAGTTTTGAGGTTAGTACGAACTTGGTTTGCATGGAAGCAATTGCTTCTGACTGCACTCGTTGTGGGTTGTCTTGTGCAGGAACTGACCCTTGACGGTTGTCAAAGGTGAAAGACCTCTCGGAGTTGACGCGGCGGTCTTCTCCAGGGAGAGGGAGTCCAGCAACTCCTCTTGCGTAGCTTGAGCCGTCGATGCTCATGGCTTGATGGCTCTCAAGAGCGTTGATGCGAGCTACTAATTGCTCGACGACAGCGGCGCTGACGGAGGTCACCGCTGATGGCGCACTAGTCGTTGCTGGTGGTGGGCCCAGTGAGTCTGCAGTGGTTTTCCCTTCGGGAGCCATGATGGTGCAGACCTTGTGCTGTATTGAATGGGATTATAAGGAGTTTGTTTTGAGTAGAACAAAGATTTAGCAGAACTTATAATCCAGTTTGGCTCTCATACCAAGCTGATATAACCGAAGGATCAAGTGAATAGGATAAGTCTGCTAAGTCCAGGAGGAGACAATAAAGTCCCTGTAGTGACCTTGTCAGATAAAAGTTGAAAGAGAACAAGATGATTAAGGGATAGGAGTACAAGGGATTAAATAGCAAACTAATTAGCCATGTACTTTGAGGGGTACATTCCCTTAGTAACTGTATTGCATAACTACAATAACCACTACATTCCCATTCTCGACAGTTACCATGTTGCAGCGAGCAACTGTCGCGCGGTAACTTAGCTGGTCAAGGGTCACGACCGTTGACTATCCTCGACGGTTGATCTTCGGGTAACCCCCAACTTTCCGCATGCTCTATATGAGCTATTGCGGTACTGGTACAGTGCCCGGTTCTACTAGCAGCTGATGCGTTAGTGGGATACCTTCGGGAATGCTTAAAATGACCTTTCGGTTATTCCAACAAAAAACAACATAGGAAAACCAGAATGCGGGAAAACACAGAGACTATCAAGTTAGAGACTAAAAAAAAGGACGCACGAAAAAAAAGGAAAGAGGACGCACGAAGGGCACAGAGTGAGCAAAAATTGCGGAATGGTAGGGTGTTGGGAGGGGAGAAACGAGGGGCGACGGGCAGGCATTGCGGGGCGAGCGCGAAGCGCCGATGTGGGTGATGGGAGGGGCGAAACGAGGGGCGACGGGCATGCATTTCGGGGCGAGCGTGCAGGCGCCGAGGTGGGTGATGGGAGGGGCGAGCGGAGGGGCGATAGGCAGGCATTGCGGGGCGAGCGCAAAGGCGCCGAGGTGGGTGATGGGAGGGGAGAGAGGAAGGGCGACGAGCAGGCATTTCGGGGCGAGCGCGAAGGCGCCGACGTGGGTGATGGGAGGGGAGAAAGGAAGGTCGACAAGCAAGCATTTCGGGGCGAGCGCAAAGGCGCCGACGTGGGTGATGGGAGGGGAGAAAGAAAGGGCGACGGGCATGCATTTCGGGGCGAGCGCGCAGGCGCCGAGGTGGGTGATGGGAGGGGAGAGAGGAAGGGCGACGAGCAGGCATTTCGGGGCGAGCGCGAAGGCGCCCAGGTGGGTGATGGAGGGGAGAAAGGAAGGGCGACGGGCAGGCGTTTCTCCCTCGCGACGGGAGAGATGAAGGGCGACGGGAGAGAAAGGGCGATGGGAGAGAAAGGGCGATAGGAGAGAAAGGGCGATGGGAGAGAGAAAGGCGACGGGAGAGGAAAGGCGACGGGAGAGAGAAAGGCGACAGGAGAGGAAGGGCGACGGGAGAGAGGAAAGGGTGACGGGAGAGAAAGGCGACGGGAGGGAAGGAAGGGCGACGGGAGAGAGAAAGAGCGACGGGAGAGAAAGGCGACGGGAGGAAGGAAGGGCGGCGGGAGAGGAAGGGTGATGGGAGAGAAAGGCGATGGGAAAGTAGGAAGGGCGACGGGAGAGAAGGAAGGGCGGCGGGAGAGGAAAGGCGACGGGAGAGGAAAGGCGACAGGAGAGGAAAGCCGACGGGAGAGGAAAGGCAACGGGAGAGGAAAGCCGACGGGAGAGGAAAGGCGACGGGAGAGGAAAGGCGACGGGAGAGGAAAGGGAACGGGATGGGAGGGAAGAGATAGCGAGGCGATGCGAACTGAGGGGAGGGCCGCGACGGGAGATAGCGAGGGCGACGTCGGGACGGAGGCGGCGAGTGGGCGATAGGAGGCGGCGAGAGGCGATCAAAACGGCACAATTACTGCGAAATCATGCCATATAAACAATACGCGTCTAAGTTGCGGTAACAATAGCCTAAGTTGAGGGCTATATGGCTAGACAAGGAACAGATAACTAACAAGCACGAAAAAGTGAACAGAAGAACAAGTACAGTCAGAAGTCTACGCAGGAATGGATGAACTAGAATGAAGTTGGGTACAAAAATAAAACCCTAAAGGGGCTATACCCCATATTGGCTACCCCACTACAGCCTACACATATATATCACATATATAATTTGACACACCCCCATAGGCAAAGTGGGGGAGAACAAGGGGTCACAAGACCAGTCAAGCAAAGCAAAGCAAGCTCAGGGTGGATCACAACGTCACCACACACTGAGCACAAGCAAAGGGCCACAAGGCCAGTCCACATGCAAAGGTATATATGCAGGTATATATATATAGATCACAGTACAAGCAAAGCCTACAGCAAGTGTGGAAACGTAGGTACAAGGCCTAACAAGGTACAGAAACGCTGATGATCACCAGACGGAAGTGCCTTGGTGAATATATCAGCTGTGTTGGCCCTCGTGGCCATGTAAGCAAGACGAAGCTGATCTCGCTGTTGTAACTTTCGAGCATGTGCTTCGTTTTGTGCTCCAGTCTGTGCTCCTCACACAAGGCAATGGCTGCCTTGTTGTCAACGTACAGAACTGGAGGAGAACGAGGCCGCTCTCCCAAGTCAGTCAGCAAGTAGGTGAGCCAGCGTAACTCCTGTGCAGCCATGGTTGTGGCGTAGATCTCAGCCTCACAACTGGAGCCGAGAACAGAAGACGAGCGTGTAGACCGCCAAGAAATAGAGCCAGAGCCAAGGCTGAAGGTGTAACCCTGTGACGACCGCTGCGTAGCCTGGTCGTCAACCCAAGACGCGTCAGAGTGTCCAGTGAGGACAACGTCACCCCGTCCTCCAAGCACGAGCCCCATGCCCGATGTACTGCACAGGTAGCGCAGTACCCTCTTCGCAGCTTCCCAGTGCACCTTTCGGTGCCTACCAGGAGCCACGTAGCGAGCCAGAAGGCCAAGAGGGTACGCAAGGTCAGGTCAAGTGCAGGTCATCAGGTACATGAGGCAGCCCACTAGCTCTGGGTAAGGACCACTCGGCTCTACGGACTCGTCCAAAGGTGGAGCTGTGAGCGAGTGACCTAATGCCAGAGGAGTGGACTGTGGGGAGGACCAGGTGAAGCCGAAGCGCTGAAGGACCTGCTGCACCATGTGTGACTGAGACAGTGTGATGGTGCGGCGTGCTTTGTCCCGGGTGACCTCCTGTCTGCTCAGTGTAAGGAGAGGGAGCAGGCAGGGGGGAGCCTGGCTGTAACGGTAGGCCAGTGGAAGACGGCAGGCTAAGAACCTGGCGAAGCACTGTGTCAGGAGGCGGCAGAGACGACGGTGACGGCGGAGAGAAGAACAGTCGCTGCGCAGCAGTGCCACCAGCACCAGTAGCTCCAGTGCCTCCAGCAGCTCCAGAACCTCCAGCAGCTCCAGACCCTCCAGCTCCAGCTCCTCGAGCGCCAGCACCACCAGCAGCCGCAGAACCTCCAGCGCCAGCACCGCCAGTACCAGCGTCACCAGCAGCAGCACCCCCAGAACTGGCAACTCCAGTCCCAATGTCTCCAGCAGCAGCACCCCCAGAACCGGCACCTCCAGTCCCAGGGTCTCCAGCAGTAGCACCCCCAGACGCAGCACCTCCAGCCCCAGCAGCTCTAGTACCTCCAGTACGAGCACCTCCGGGTCTAGCGGCTCCAGCACCTCCAGCAGACAAAGTACCCGCAGTACTCCCAGCTCCAGTGTCAGCAGCTCCAACAGCACCTCCTGCGGCAGGGTCAGCAGTACCACCAGCTCCAGCGTCCTCAGGCCCAGCGGCTCCAGCGTCGTCGGCACCTCTCGCACCACCCCAAGTACCCTCTGAACTAGCACCCCCAGCTCCAGGGACGTCAGCAGAAGCGCCTCCAGCGGCAGAGCCCCGAGCTCCAGCAGTGCGAACCTGACGGCGAGCGTACCACTCGTGCAGCTGCTGTGGGGAGAGAGGCGCACGCGGACGAAGGCGGCCACTCCAAGGAGACCGCGCACAAGCAGTCTCAGTACCCTCAGTCACCGCACCCCCAGGCTCAGCACCCCCAGGCTCCACACACTCAGGCTCAGCACCCCCAGACTCAGCACCCCCAGACTCAGCACCCCCAGACGCAGCACCCCCAGACGTAGTACCTCCAGTCTCCTCACGCTCAGGCTCAGCACCTCCAGGCCCAGCACCCCCAGGCCCCACACACTTAGGCTCAGCACCCCCAGACTCAGCACCCCCAGGCTCAGCACCCCTAGGCTCCAGACGCCCAGGCTCAGCACCCCCAGACGCAGCACCCCCAGGGACGGCACCCCGAGCAGGACCACCCCCAGCAGGACCTGAGTCACCAGTGACCTCAACAGGCACAGGAGGGTCTACCTGAGAAACACCTGAAGGAGCAGGACCTGGCGCGGGGAGGGGGTCTACCTGGGGAGGACCTGGAGCGAGAAAGAGCGGAGGGGGAGGGCGAGCAGCAGTGTGGTAGGAAAAGAGACGGTAAAAGGGGACCGACTCGTCGAAGGTGACGTCCTGAGACGCAAAGACACGGCGCGAAGCGGGGTCGTAAAACTGCCAGCCAGGCGCGTCAGGAGGAAAACCAAGGAAGACGCAGGGAATGGCGCGAGCGGAGAGCTTGTCCGCGGTGGTATCGCGGACAAAGGCACGAGCACCCCAGACCCGGAAGCGCGACGCATCGCCAACCTCCCCCGTCCACAGCAGTGTGGGCGAGGTCTCCGGCAAGGAGACACGGGGCCAGAGGTTGAGCTGATGCGCGGCGTACCGGACCGCAAATGGCCACAGAAAATGGGGGGCAGCCGCATGGATCATGGAGGTACGAGCGACCTCCATGACTAAGCCAATACGGCGCTCAGCAACCCTATTCTGCTGCGGAGAGGCCGGAAGCGTGAACGACTGGCGGATGCCGTGCTCCTCACAGAAAGCTCGCAAGAGGTCGGAGGTGAACTCACCACCTCTGTCAGAGTGCTGACGCAGGACAGGAAAGTCCGACTGGAACCGCTCGCGGAGCTGGAGACGAACAGCGCGGATCCAGGGGATCAGAACATCAGGGACCTGACCCTTGCTGCACAAGGGGAAGACCGTGGTGTAACGCGTGTAGTCGTCGACGACCAGCAGGAAGTACCGCTCGCGGCCCTGCCCCTGGACGCGGGCTGGGCCCCACACGTCCAGGTGGAGAGTCTGCAGCGGAGCCTCTGTGGGAGGGAACGAGGAGGAGTGAGGAGCGGCGCGCTGCCGCCCCTCAACGCAAGGAATGCAGGGCGGGGCAGGCGAGGGAGGGAGGGCGGGCAGAGACCTGGGAAGGCCAGAGACCAGTAGGCGAGAGTGCATGCCACGAAGGCGGGGTAGAGAGGGGTGACCAAGGCGGTGGTGCCACAGGAGAGTGTCGTGCGACAGGCGGCGACACTCACACTGGGTAGCTACCTGAGCAGACGCGTACAGCTTGGGAGACAAAGGGGTGTAGCGCGACACGGTGGTGAGGGTGTACAGACTGGACCCAGGCTCACGGGTGAACGTGGCCAGGTGGCGGCCAGTCTTGGAGCACGTACAGATCGCCACACGCTGTCCTCCAGGAGTAAAGGTGTCAACCCAATGATCCTGAAGGACGGTGTTGCTCACCAGGTTCGTAGAGAACGAGGGGATGTGGAGACCTGACAGCTCACCGGACGGGACCTGCTGCTGCTGCCCCTGGCCACCACTGGAGCTCCCCTTCGGGCCGGCCGCACTCCAGCCCCCACCTCCGCCACCACTACTGCTGCCTCCTCCCCCTCCACCGCCGCTGCCTCCTCCACCGCTCCCGGTCCCACCGCCGCCCCACCCACCGCCTCCACCCCCACGGCCACCCCCACCACCTCCACCACCCCCGCCGCCTCCACCACCGCTCCCTCCACCGCCACCTCCACCACCCCTGCCACCCTTGCCGCCCCTGGTGCCGCTGCGCTTCCCACTAGGAGCGGAAGCAGCTGCGACCTTCTCAGCACCGAGGAGGTCGACGGCAGCAGCAGCAGAGGCGTAGGAGGGGGCAAGAGGGGAGGGGGAGCATCCCTCAAAGAGGGGAGTGCGAGGAGTGCCACGAGCAGCACCTACAGCGAGGATGTTCTTTTCTGCTGCTAGGAGCTGCTGCTCGAAGTCGGCTAGAATGAGAGTGTTAGGGTCGGCGGCACGAAAGCGAGCGTCACTAGCGCGGAGGTGAGAGATAAGGTCCTCAGCGGTGGCAAACGAGGACAGGTCTGGGAACAGGTAGGGCAGGATGAGACGACCTACGGCTGCAGTGGCTGGGGACGAATAGCGCGCAACTACAGCGTCATACAGTGCCTTAGCAGTCTTGTGCTGGCTGAAATGCGCGCGTTCAGTGATCGGCAGGTGATTGCGAATAGCGAGGCGTGCAGCAGCATCGCGAGTCTGCCACTGTGAGCGGTCAAGAGCAGGAGCAGTGTCAGCAGGAGCAACGGCAGTGCCAGACGCGTGATCGAACAGTGAAACGCCGTCTTTTGCATCAGTCATAAGAAACAGTTGCAGGTCGTCGAGCCAAGTGGCAAACTCAATCGGGCGACCGTCAGGCTCAAACGCGAGAACATTAAGCGTCGCCATAATCGCAGCGCAGGCGAAGGCAGCAGGCAAAGGCAGCAGGCACAGGCAGCAGGCAAAGGCAGCAGGCACAGGCAGCAGGCAAAGGCAGCAGGCACAGGCAGCAGGCAAAGGCAGCAGGCACAGGCAGCAGGCAAGGGCGGCGCGCAAAGCAGCCGCAAGCTGTGCGTGGGCTGTCTGGGCAATGCGCTAGCAGCGCAGGCAGCGCGCGGAGCAGCAGCGGGCCGCGCGCAGGCTGCGGAGGCGCGGCGCGGGCAGGTAGGGCGGCGCGCGGGGCTGCAGCGGGCCGCGCGCGGGCTGCCACGGCGCGGCGCGGGCTGCGGAGGCGGCGCGCGGGGCTGCAGCGGGCCGCGCGCGGGCTGTCGTGGCTCGGCGCGGGCTGCGCAAGCGGCGCGCGGGGCAGCAGCGGGCTGCGCGTGAGCTGCCGAGGCGCGGCGCGGGCAGCTAGGGCGACGCGCGGGGCAAAAGCGGGCAGCGCGCGGGAATTAGGTCTGCGCGCGCGAAGCAGCAGCAGACAGCTCAGACAGCAGACAGCAGGCAGCAGGCAGACGGCGCGCGCAGCGCAGCACGTCACAGGCACAGTCACAGTCACAGTCGTGAGGGTGGCGTTAGGTGGGCCCGAAAAAAAAGACGGTCCTACGGACCTACTGCTCTGAAACCATGACAGAAGTCTAGGCAGGAATGGATGAACTAGAATGAAGTTGGGTACAAATATGAAACCCTAAAGGGGCTATACCCCATATTGGCTACCCCACTACAGCCTACACATATATATCACATATATAATTTGACAAGTAGTACTTCACCCAGGCCCAACTTGAACCCCAAGCTGGGCAAAAAATCGCAGGGACGTGACAAAACGATTGCAGTGCTTCTGTACTGCGACTCCACAAACAGAGATGCGACGCCTGGTGTGCTGTGTTCCTTAATTCGGTTTTGGCGGGAACCAATCAGATTCGTTTGATCTGTTCAAAAGCTCTCAATGAAACAGTGCAAACTTGTCGGTTTGATTTGAAAATTGTTTCACTCGACAAGCTCTCTTTCAAGCTGGAGAGGGGTTCACTATTTCGCAGTTCGGTTTTAAGGTTTCGGTTGAGGTTGACAATATGAATGTGCCTATTCTAAATTGTGCAATGTCAACTTCGTGCATTTAAACTTGTTGAGCAATAATATATGCTTGCTTCTAGTCTAAAGTAGTATTGCATCTCATTTTGTCAGAAGCCATGCTGACAAGCATCAATAAAGCTGCACTCCTCTCACCCTCACCCTTCGCCACACAAGCATCACCGCAGCCGCATTCCTATTACTCTATGCAGCACAGTCTCCAATTCATCTTCCCCAGCCATCACTGCTGCGGTCATTGTTGAGAAATCTCAAAACTAATTTCTTTAACACCCAAAGCACAAGCATCACCGCAGTTGCACTCCTCGTACTCTCTGCAGCACACTCTGCAAGTCCCCTTCCCCAGCCATTACTGCTCCATCCTCCTCCATTCCCTGTGGGCTGAAGGGAATCAAAGAAAGAACACAAAGGAGAGGAGAACGACATAAAAAACACTCAGATAGGAGTTTGAGAAGAAAGCCCTTCTTACAACGGGACACAATTCTACCTATGGTAACAAACAAGCCACATGTTCGATCTATGCAATGCCATTCTCAAGCCACTGCTCGTACAAACATGCCATCTGTTGAATTATGTTTGTACACATTCTATAAAACTGTCTACAGTAGTGTAGTGTAGATTACATTGGTGGTGCACCTTTTTTGTTCTTGACTCTTTGTACTTGTCGCTCCATAGTGAAACCCCCTTCTTCCCCAAACTTTCTCGACAGCCAGCCATGCCTAGCCCAAACCCTCGCATGGCTCCTAATCTCACGTTCTAAACTAGTATTTCACACCATCTTGCGTTGCCTTGCAAAAACGACTCTCACATACGTAATGATCCAATCCCACCGCTCACCTGCTTTGAATGGGCCAATGGTCGTGCATCGGCCGCACCACAGAGATCCCCCCGTTCCCAAGTCGTCCCCCTCCCCAGCCATCACTAAAAACAGCAAAACGTGCTGCATGTCGCTCTCTCAAGGGTGGCCCTTTCCACCCCTCTCACGTGCTTCATAACCTCACCGCACTCACCTGTTTTGAATGGGCCCATGGTCATGCATCACATGCATCGCCCTTCCCAGCACAGCAAAACGTGGCCCTTTCCACCCCTCCCACCTGCTCCATAACCTCACAGCACTCACCTGTTTTAAATGGGCCCATGGTCATGCATCACATACGTCGCCCTTCCCAGCACGGCAAAACGTGGCCCTTTCCACCCCTCTCATGTGCTACATAACCTCACCGCACTCACCTGTTTTGAATGGGCCCATGGTCATGCATCACATACGTCGCCCTTCCCAGAACAGCAAAACGTGGCCCTTTCCACCCCTCTCACGTGCTTCATGCCCCACCCACCCCACTGCGCTCACCTGTTTTCATGGTCATGCGTTGACCGCACCACACAGATTGCCCTCCCCTGTGTGTCCTCCAAATGAACAGAATGACCCTTTCCATTACCTCCCACACGCCTCATGAACTCACCCCATTTTTGGTGACTTTTGAGTCGACTCAAAAGTCGCCTCATGAACCCACCTCTTGTTGACTTTTGAGTTGACTCAAAAGTCGCTGCATGACCCCACCTCGCTCATGGTCCTGCTTGCACACTGATCAGCCACTCACCTGTTCTGGATGGGCCCATGGTCGTGCATTGACCGCACCACATACATCGCTCTCCCCAGCACGTCCTCCAGATTCATGGGTCGACCCTTTTCACCCTCTCTAACATGCCTCAGGACCTACCACACTCACCTGTTTTGGATGGGCCCATGATCATGCATCGATCGCACCACATACATCGCTCTCCCCAGCACGTCCTCCAGGTGCACGGGGCCAAACGTGCGGCTGTCCCACGCCTCCTGTGTGCGTCGAAGGGAAAAACAAAGAGAGGTTATAGGGGCCCATGGTCGTGAGCCTTCTCACAGGGAACCCCCACATGGCCTGCCCTCTAGGTGCACGGGGCCAAACGTGCGGCTGTCCCACGCCTCCTGCACGCATTCAGCGATGGAAAGGAAGACGTGTTTTTTCAAGAGGATTCTCACATGGCAGTCTCACACCACAGGGCCAAACGTGCAGCTGTCCCATGCGTACCGTGCATGTTGCGTACCGTGCATGTTGCAGGGGAAACGAATATAAAATGCAGGAAAATTCTCACAGGGCATTCTCACAGGGCATTCTCACAGGGCATTCTCACAGGGCATTCTCACAGGGCATTCTCACAGGGCATTCTCACAGGGCATTCTCACAGGGCATTCTCACAGGGCATTCTCATGGGACGGGTTTGGGAACAGATGTCACCCCACAAACCCAAAGGCAATAGCCCAGCAGAAAGAAAAGAATCATCGCCCCACCTCAACACTTCCTTTCTGCTGGAAAGCTGTTGCCACACTAGTGGCCTGCTATTGGTGCCCTGCCGTAGCCTTTTCCAAGCACCCAATCAAAAATCATCAAGGGTGGCGATACAACAAGTGCACTATTACGTAAATTAAGAACCCTTGAACTAACCTCTCTAGGAGCATCACCAAAGAAAACCTTTGAAGCGCCTCAAAATCTCCATTCAATAATCATCAAGTGTGGCGATACAACAAGTACACTGTTACAACAAGTACACTGTTACAACAAGTACACTGTTACAAGTACACTGTTACAACAAGTACACTGTTACAACAAGTACACTGTTACAACAAGTACACTGTTACAACAAGTACACTGTTACCTTCTCCAAGAACCCTTGAACTAACCTTTGCAGGAGCAGCACCAGAGAAAACTCTCACATGATCACCCTTGCATTGCTAAGTACCCTCACATGATCACCCTTGCATTCCTAAGTACCCTCACATGATCACCCTTGCATTCCTAAGTACCCTCACATGATCACCCTTGCATTCCTAAGTACCCTCACATGATCACCCTTGCATTCCTAAGTACTCTCACATGATCACCCTTGCATTCCTAAGTACTCTCACATGATCACCCTTGCATGTCCCGTTGAGTCTTCCTATAACCCCTTTAAGGCTCTGCCCTCAACAAACCTCTGATACCCACGTGATAAAAGAAGTGTTTTGAGACGTCTTAAATCGCCCTTGCATGTCCCCTTGATTCTTCCTATACCTCCTTCAAGGCTCTTCTCTCAAGGCACCCTTGAACATACTTGTGTCTGTCCCAAGAAACTTGAATGCTCACCCCATTGCACATACCTTGGCTGGAACGTCGGGGTTGTTGTTTGCAAGCACCCAGAAGTGATCATATTATCTTTAGATTAGTTTCGAGAATTCTCAAGACCAACCTATTGCCTTTCCAAGCGCCCTTGAACAAACCTTGGCAGGAACATCAGGGTTGTCTGCAAGCACCCAGAAGTGATTCTCCTCTATCCGAATCGGCATATCCGACGGCTGAGACGACACGATCTCGTCTCCAGCAACGGCTGCAACTCGCCGAAACACGACTGTGGGCTTTGCTGTCATGGTAGCGTTACAAGGCTCCTCTTTCACTGTGGTGGTGGTGGTGTTGGTCGTGTTACACGTCTCTTCTCTCCAAGTGCTGCTGCTGCTGCTGCTGCTGCTGCTGCTGCTGCTGCTGCGGGTCGCTGGAAGCTCTGCTGGTGCGTGTGCGTTGACAGATATAGTGTGCGAGTAGAGGGTCGTGGTCGCCCTGGGACTGACTGGGCTGTAGGATGCAGCAGCGGTTGTGGTTGTGGTTGTGGTTGTGGTTCTGGTTGTGGTTGTGGTTGTGGTTGTGGTTGTGTTTGAGCCCTCCAGGCTCACACATAGAACGTCCCCCACATGCACCTTACTGCATAATCAGGCGGGAGATTGAGAGGGATTGAGAGGGATTGAGAGGGATTGAGTGAGCGGGCCACAAAGGAAACAGCTGGCTGACTGGGTCACTGGGTGGGAGCTGCAGGTTGGGGTCTCCAGGGAAATTTTGAGAATAATAATAAAAAAAATCGCTGCAACATCAAAGAGAACAGCTGGCTGACTGGGTCACTGGGTGGGTGGGTGCTGCAGATGGGGGTCCCCAAGCGCTCACATATAGCATGCTTCCCAACACGTCCTCATGTACCTTATTGCACGAGAGAAAAGGGGACTGAGAGGGGATTATATGTGTGCATGCTTACACGTGTCAGTGCATGTATGTGTGTATGCTTACACGGGCCAATGCACGTACGCGTGCATGCTTACACATGCCAATGCATGCATGTGTGCATGCTTACACATGCCAATGCATGCATGTGTGCATGCTTACACATGCCAATGCATGCATGTGTGCATGCTTACACATGCCAATGCATGCATGTGCGCATGCTTACACAGGCCACTGCATGTATGTGTACATGCTTACATGGGTTTAGGGATGTATGTGTGCATGCTTAAATGGGTTTAGGGAAGAATATGTGTATGCTTACATGGATTTAGGGATGTATGATACACGGGTTTAGGGATGTATATGTGCATGCTTACATGGGTTTAGGGATGTTTGTATGCATGCTTACATGGGTTTAGGGACGTATGTGCAAGTGCATACACGGAACGAGGCAGCAGAACCCGATGGAGCACCCACTCGTCCTTTATCCCCTTTATAGCCGGCTTCATGGCCTCGCTTCCGACCTCTGATGACTCAAGCTGCGTTATAAGTGGGAATCTCTCCTTCATGCCAAGAGCGATGAATTTCATCCAGTTATAGAGTGGCAGCTCGCCTCTTGGGTTCTTTGAGTAGAATGCCTGATAGGAGAAAACAAAACAGGGAAAAAAGGGAAAAAAAAAATGTGAGTTGACTCAGAAGTCACCTTGTTATAAAGTGGTAGCTCGCCTCTCGGGTTCTTCTGGTAGAAGGCCTGACATCCCTGATACAGGCGAAGGCAGAAACGAGAGAGGGGGGGAAAGTGGGAGTAAGACTTTTGGGTCGGCTGAGAAGACAATTTCATCCAGTAAAAAGCCTAACAAGAGAAAACGGAAACGAAAGGAAGGGAATATTTCTGAGCCGATCCAAAAGTCGTCCAGTTATAGAGTGGCAGGTAGCCTCTTGAATTCATCAATGGAGAGCAAAAACGGAAAATAGGGAAAGTTTTCCTTCATCCCGAGAGGAATAAATTCCATCCAGCTATAGCGTGACCGGGTTTAGGGTTTAGGATATATCTCAACGGACTCTAAAGCCTGAACGACTCACATGCTGGCAAGCACTTGAGCCCTTTCTCGGTAGTTCTTGAGCCTCGTCAGAATAGACGTCATGGGTGCAGTGCTGCCAGTGCCAGCACTGAGATCACACCTGGGAAAATCACTCACATGCTGGCAGACAAAGGCAAGCACTTGAGCCCTCTCTCGGTAGTACTTGAGCCTCGTCAGGATAGATGTCATGGGCGCCATGCTGCCCTGCCTGCCAGCACTGGAAGCACAACTAAGCACCACTGATGGCTGCTGCCCTCTCTGCCAGCACAGGGATCTTTCTTGCAGTTAGTAGGTCAAATCGAACTGACAGCAACTTGTATGGCTAGCTTATCGTGCGACAACAGCTATTGTTGGCTACCCTAACCGTTTCAGCTCGTTTGACTGACTGACTCTGACAAATTCAGCTCCTCACTGATTGACTGGCTATAGAAAGAAGGTATTTGCACTGCCAGTGGCTGCCTCCACCAGCAGCGGAGGCTGTTTTCTTTAGCCAAACCCTAAACGCTTCAGCTCGTCTGACTGGGTGTCTGAGATGGAGAACGGAACGAATAATTGCAGGTGGTAACCCGACCGCTTCAGCTCGCCTGCCAGCTCCACTAGACTGGCAGTTTGCTTACTGCGGCTACTTCGATAATCTCGTTACTGATTCTGCTCGACTGGCTGACTGACTGACTGATCTTGACTGCTTCAGTTTGTCTGCTAGCTCCGCAGGCGGTGCTGACCGCTTCAGTTGGTCTGACAAACTGACGGACTCAACTTGGCTGACTGACAATGACAGATTCGGCTCATCTGACTGACTTTGACGTATTCGGCTTGACTGACCGACTGACTCTGATTGGTTGAGCTCGTCTGGCTGTCCGACTTTGACAGAATCAGCTCGCCTGACTGACTGAATCTGATTTAGCTGTCTAACTGTCCGACTCGACAGCTTCAGCGCGTGTGGCTCTCACAGATTCAAGTCGTCTGACGGATTGACAACTGACTCAGCTCGTCTGACTGACGGACCATGACAGATTCATCACATCTATTTCTGTGACGAGCTATGAGCTTCATCTTGTCCGGCTGACTAAATCCGACAAATTGTGCTCCATTGACTACCTGGCTCTGGATTGAGTTTGTTCGCTCCTCTTACTCGTGTTCGGAGGTATCTTAGTCGAACTACAGCTAGTGCTCAAGGCAGCAATAAACTCCTTAGATCATGTTCTAAGTCCCTTCACAACCGCTCCCTTAAGAAAAGAATATATCTTCAAACGTGGGATGATTTAGCTACTCACTCGCACTTCTCCCCTCAATTTCAAGAATGTAACTTGTATTCTACAAAAAAATCACTCGCGATAAGCCTGAATGCGATCTGCGCTCAGATAAGGTTCAGTGCGGCTCTGTTCGGTATAAGACACGTGAGAAATCACGATCTCGTGCCTACTAACTGAAACTGGAGCGACAGCGAGAGGAACTAGGAATGACGACGCGGACTAGACGCGCGCTTAGTAGTCGTCGTGTTCGTTTCCAAGTTACTTAGGGAGCGCTTCGAAACGAGGTATCGAAAGCCAGGTACGGTATATGTCTAGAGGTAACAAGCTACCCGACATGCAAAATGGCGAGCATGGATGAAAAACGGCACAGGAATTCGCAAAGGTCCTCTTTATTGCAGTCTGCTTATCCTCCAAAGGCGAACCTATCCAATTTAAAAGCCAATGTATAACGAGGCAGAAAAGGTAATCTTAAAAAAAAAACACAAGCTCAATATGAGCAAGCACACATGGCACAATGTCAATTAAAGAGTATAACCTAAAGTCAACTTCTGTGAGATTTGATGTCCTCCACAATTCTTTTTATAATATCCTCTACATCTTTGCATTCCACGGCCAACACTCCTGCATCTTGTACCCTGGCCGTAAAACTGCCAAAGGGAAAGGACAGAAAATCTTCATTAAAGGGGTAAAAAACACAAAACAGCAGGAGGTCATTTCTCGGACTAAACTTTCTGTTTTGTTATTCATATTCACTTGTGGTGTACTGGCTCATAATCAACAGCTGATACCACCGTAAACATCCTCTACAAACCCTTTGTTATGCGTCCATAGCAAAAGCTCGATTCACACAAAAGAGATCTGATTCTCACCTGCTTCGGATGGGCCCGTGATCATCTTCTGAGCGCACCATATACAGTGCCCTCTCGAATATGTAGTTCTTATGCACAGGGCCTATGGTGCGACTGTCGATAGCTTCCTGGAAGGTGAGGAGGTGGAGGGGAGAAGAGATGAATGTGCTATCGGATCCGGTTGTTGCCTTGTGTCCGCAAGGCGATTCTATCTACATGCACAGAGCCTATGGTGCGACTGTCGATAGCTTCCTGAAAGGTGAGGAGTTGGAGGGAAGAAGAGGTGAATGAGGCGATTGTACCATGAAGGTGAAGGTGAATGAAGGCAACAACCGGGGAACCAGTAGTTGCCTTGTGCAAGGCGATTGTATCTACATGCACAGGGTCGAAATAATTAAGTGTTTTTGAGACGTCTCAAAAACACTTTATTATCACAAGGCGATTGTATCTATCTGCACAGAGTCGATGGGGCGGCTAACAATAGCTTTCTGGAAGGTGGCATAGGGGGAGGAGGAGGTGGAGGGAGAAGCAAGCAGAGATGGAACAATGATAATTGGCACATGCCTCTCAGCATGCCTCTCAGCATGCCTCTCAGCATGCCTCTCAGCATGCCTCTCAGCATGCCTCTCAGCATGCCTCTCAGCATGCCTCTCTGCATGCCTCTCTGCATGCCTCTCTGCATGCCTCTCTGCATGCTTCTCTGCATGCCTCTCTGCATGCCTCGCTGCATACCTCTCTGCATGCCTCTCAGCATGCCCCTCAGCATGCCTCTCTGCATGCCTCTCAGCATGCCTCTCAGCATGCCTCTCTGCATGCCTCTCTGCATGCCTCGCTGCATACCTCTCTGCATGCCTCTCAGCATGCCTCTCAGCATGCCTCTCTGCATGCCTCTCAGCATGCCTCTCAGCATGCCTCTCTGCATGCCTCTCAGCATGCCTCTCAGCATGCCTCTCTGCATGCCCCTCTGCATGCCTCTCTGCATGCTTCTCAGCATGCCTCTCTGCATGCCTCGCTGCATGCCTCTCTGCATGCCTCTCTGCATACCTCTCTGCATGCCTCGCTGCATGCCTCTCTGCATGCCTCTCTGCATACCTCTCTGCATGCCTCGCTGCATGCCTCTCTGCATGCCTCTCTGCATGCCTCTCTGTAGGGCTGCCATAAGCCTCACTCTCTGCCTATATCCCTGCCTATATCTCTGCCTATATCCCTGCCTATATCTCTGCCTATATCTCTGCCTATATCTCTGCCTATATTTCTGCCTATATCTCTGCCTATATCTCTGCCTATATCTCTGCCTATATCTCTGCCTATATCTCTGCCTATATCTCTGCCTATATCTCTGCCTATATCTCTGCCTATATCTCTGCCTATATCTCTGCCTATATCTCTGCCTATATCTCTGCCTATATCTCTGCCTATATCTCTGCCCATATCTCTGCCTTATCTCTGCCTGTATCTCTGCCTGTATCTCTGCCTGTATCTCTGCCTGTATCTCTGCCTGTATCTCTGCCGGTATCTCTGCCTATATCTCTGCCTATATCTCTGCCTGTATCTCTGCCTATATCTCTGCTTATATCTCTGCCTATATCTCTGCCTATATCTCTGCCTATATCTCTGCCAATATCTCTGCCTATATCTCTGCCTATATCTCTGCCTAAATCTCTGCCTATATCTTTGCCTACACCTCTCTGTATGCCTCTCTGCATTCCGCACAATACACCTCAATGCATGGCGCCTCACTATATGCCTCACTATATGCCTCACTCACTACATGCCTCACTACATGCCTCACTACATGCCTCACTACAGGGCACTAGTGCAAACTTCTTCACTCCTCACCTTTGCAGGAACAGCCAAGTTGTCAGCAAGAAGCCAAAAATGGTCCTTCTCTATCCGAATCGGCTCATCCGATGGCTGAGATGACACGATCTCGTCTCCAGCAACGGCTGCCACTCGCCGAAAAGCAATGGGGAGCTCAGACAACGGTATATCAGACTTGGGAACTGACAAAGGCGAAGCATGGGTTGCGCGGTTGACTGTGTTCGTGGCAGCTTCTGATTGGGCCACTTTTTTCCTTTTCATTGCCTTTCTTGGATTGTTGCTTTTGAAAGAAGAGGCGCGGGTTTGTAACCGAGAAGGTGCCCCTGCTGTCCCGTCATTGGCCGTTGGCTCAGCAGACGCCTCGGGATTGGCTGATTTGGTGTAAAGGAAACTGTTGCGGGATCATATCTCATCGCCACGACATCACCGACAGAAATTTCACTGCAGAGGCCAAGACATGTGAGAGAAGGAGAGACGGAGAGAAGAAGAGAGAGAAAAAATCTGTGAACATAGTACAAAAGTATAGACTACCATAGCTGCAGCAAAGGCCGTAACCCAAGTCGCTTCTGAGAATTCTCAAAAGCGACTCGGTTTTGAGAATTTCGAAAAAAACGACGACCATGGCTGCAGCAAAGGCGCGCAATCTGCAAGCGGACAACCTCTGAAGTTCCAACACCGATGCAGTGACCTGCAAGCAAAACATGAAGACGAAATCTGCAAGCAACACTACAAGCTGAGCACGTAAATAACACTAGCTTGCAGCACCGGCTAGGCCACAAGGCTCCTTGTATCGCGTATGCTAAAATATGAGAAAATTACCGCATTCTGAAAACACTCTTGCTTCAAAAGAAGGTTATAAGTGGAGCACAAAGGCTTCGCCTGCAAAGCAAAGCAGGCCTCCAATGTGTGCTGCATGGAATCCTTCAAACTAACGCAGGCCTCGAGTGCACTTGATGAAACGATTCTCAGGTGTCTGTGACAGCACTCGCAACAATCAAACTTTTTGATGGTATTATAGGCTCAGCACTTGGATAGAGGTGATGACGAGTTAACAAAGCTACTGCTAAATGGAAACCTATGAGATACTCAACCTATATGCCATACTCACTGCAAGCCAGGAGGCAGCAAATAGCGGCAGAGCACCCACTCGGTCGCTGTCCCCTTTAGAATCGGTTTCATTGATTCGTCTCCAGTCACAGTCGGCCTGAGCGCGCTAAGTAGTAGCCACGGCTCATCATGATCTTAACAACCTTTTTTGTGAGCTCGAAGAAAGAAGGCTGTGTTCCTGAGTGCTTTACGTGGTTCTGAACGGTGGGAGGGAGAAAGGGAGAAAGGGAGAAAGAGAGGAAGGGAGGGAGATAGAGAGTGTTGACGGCCCATCATGATCTTAACGACCTTTTTCGTGAGCTCAAAGAAAGAAGGCTGTGTTCCTGAGTGCTTTACGTGGTTCTGAATGGGTGTGAGAGACGAGGGAGGGAGGGAGGGAGGGAGGGAGGGAGGGAGAGTCGGAGGGAGGGAGCGGAGGGATGGAGAGGAGGGGACGTGATGAAAATAAAGAACGTTCACAGCATGTGTGGCTGCTATATCTGGGATTGTGAGTCCTCGCAAACGCGAGGTGCTTGTCAACGCTTGTAATGGCGTAAAAATGCGAGAGACTGCATGCGTGCGTGCGTGCGTGCGTGCTATGCAGCACAGCACTCACCAAGTAGACCACTGCCCAGTACACATTTTCACTAAAGTACCCAAGCCGATGTGACTTTTGAGTCACTCATAGACTACCACGTTACAATGGCGCACAACTGCATGCTAGCCATGCAGCACTCACCAGGTAGACCACTGCCTGGTACAACGCGACCTTTTCAGCAAGGCACCCACGCCGATGCGACTTTTGGGTAGACTCAATGTCGCCTCGCTCACGTTACATAATCATTCGGCTCAAAAGCACTCACCATATAAAGCACTCACCATGTACACCACTCTGTGGTACAATGCGAGCTTCTCAACAAAGTACCCAAGTCGTCTCCGCAGTCCCATACTAGTTCCCAAACCCGGGCATGAAAAGACGAAGCTTGGGACTTGAAGTTTCAGAAACTGTGGGAATCCGACTCCTTGATTCCGCTTCTGGAACTCTGAACCTCTAAATCCGATCGAATCTTGGGAAATCTGATCCTGTCAAACCGAAGCCGAGCCGGTGAATGGAAATCTGAACTATGGGATTCAGACCCTGAGACCTGGAATTTGAGACGGTGAGCTGGAGTAACGAAATTTGAGTCCGAGACCGTCGGATTCCTGGGAATTCCTACTGGCAGTAGGAGCTTCGCTAGTGGAGTCCCTGGTTGCGGTATCGTCAATTTGTTCGATGATTTCGAATCATCCTACCAGAGGACCCCTTGGCTCAGCTCATTAACAGTTTACTAAGGAAACGACTTCCCCTAGCAGAGCCAGCCCTAGTAGTGACCCTGAGCGGTAAACTAAACTTATCGCAACATGTGTGAAGGTCGTCTTAAGGTGACTGGCTGATGCGTGTGAACCGACTAACCAGAATCGTACGCGCGGATTGGCGGCAAAAGAGAAGCTCGGATGATACACAAGCTCTACGTCGTTTTGGTCCGCAGGAGGACGTATTGGAGAAGAGAGCGAGGAGAACATAGGACGACGAGCTGAGAGATGACGAAGGACGGAACAGCGCTAGAGCACGATGCGTGAGGTGGAAACTCTTTTTTGAGGAACGAGGTGTGACCGTAACGTGAAGCTATCAAGCTGATGTGTCGCGGAAAACATATGGAAAGGAATTGAGAACGCGTTGGCAAAAAAAAACCAGGGGTCTACGAAAATGTTCCGTTGCCGGGACTTGAACCCGGGTCTTTCGGGTGAGAGCCGAATATCCTAACCGACTAGACTACAACGGATGCGATGGATAGCATATCTCTTGATAAGGTAAGATTGCAGATACTCGCATTGATTTCAGCGATGGACTTTGGTGCTGGATCGTTTTTTGACGGATTTTCAAAAGGTCAAGAAATATTGAGATTATAACAGCAGGTTTTCAGTGCGGTGGCAGATCGAAAAATTTTTAATCAATCGCCAAACTGGATGCGAGTGTGCACGTCCTGACTTGTTCCATGTTATGGATCATGGCAGCAGCATTCGTTTGCCTTGCACTCTCGCTGCTAAGCTGCGCAATTCTAGAATCGCCGCAAGCTGATTATTTTTCTCCCAACACACTCCCATCATCCGATGGTGATATCCGCAATGACTCTGTTACTGGGCCTCTGGTCGTACTGCGAGGGTGTGACCCTAACGAGTGGTTGCGAACCATGGCCGTGATTGTGACTCAAGTGAAGGACGGCCTCGATGGCACGGGCATTCTCTGGTTCGTTTACTTACATCCCCGGCAAGGAAGCGTCTCGTTAAGGAAATTGCATTGCACAGATTCATTTTTATAAGGGTAGCTGTAGGTCCACATTTCGTCTTCGCTTCTCGCTTCTGACTCTTCCTCCTCTTTTTCCTCTTTTTCCACCCCACATTGCTTTTCCTCTTCATCGCTCTCTGGTCCGATACCAGCAACGACGATTTCTGTTACCAGATTCCTGATCCCTTCTTGCTACTCAATAACGAGGACACGAAGAGTCGGGTGGAGGGAGAGGGTGAACGTAGTGCTGACGCGGATGAGGGTGCTGCTGACGTGGCTAATGGAGGATGGGTGGCAGGCGCAAGGGCGGATGGAGAGAGTGGAAGGGAGAGAAGCGGAGTTGCAGTTGGAAAGAGGGATGGCGAGGGTGCGGTTGAGGAAAGACCCGATGCAGCTGGAGAATCTGGGGGGAAGGATGGAGAGGGTAGGGGTGATAAGAGTGTTACAGCGGATGAGGAAGATGGAGAAAATAGGGGTGAGGGTGGAGGGGAGGCAAGACGCGTTGCAGCTGGAGGCGGGGACGAGAGGAGAAGGGCGGGAAAAGGAGATCCGACGGTGCAGGGAGAAGATCATGCTGACGTGGACAGACGCAGTGATGCCACGTGTCCTGAGCTTCTCCTCCTGCGGCATGGTGAGTCAGAGGCGTTGCCACGTGAGCCAACCAGTGCTTACAGCACAGCACTTGTGCCACGTGATACCATCCCTCCAGTTGGAATAATCATTCCTTCACAACACTTGCAACACTCAACACTAATCCTTCCTTGTCCACCCCTTCCCTATCTTCCTCCCCTCTCCATACGCACTCTCCACTCCGCCGCTTCGGAGAATTGTGCTGCCTCTGCTCAGTCCACTCCGATCAGAAGCAGCACAGATCTTCTCTCCACCCAACCCTTTGTCTCCAACCCCCCTCTCCCTCTTTCCACCCCTTCCTCTCCCTCTTTCAACCCCTTCCTCTCCCTCTTTCAACCCCTTCCTCTCCCTCTTTCAACCCCTTCCTCTCCCTCTTTCCACCCCTTCCTCTCCCTCTTTCCACCCCTTCCTCTCCCTCTTTCAACCCCTTCCTCTCCCTCTTTCAACCCCTTCCTCTCCCTCTTTCAACCCCTTCCTCTCCCTCTTTCAACCCCTTCCTCTCCCTCTTTCAACCCCTTCCTCTCCCTCTTTCCACCCCTTCCTCTCCCTCTTTCAACCCCTTCCTCTCCCTCTTTCAACCCCTTCCTCTCCCTCTTTCAACCCCTTCCTCTCCCTCTTTCAACCCCTTCCTCTCCCTCTTTCCACCCCTTCCTCTCCCTCTTTCCACCCCTTCCTCTCCCTCTTTCAACCCCTTCCTCTCCCTCTTTCCACCCCTTCCTCTCCCTCTTTCAACCCCTTCCTCTCCCTCTTTCAACCCCTTCCTCTCCCTCTTTCAACCCCTTCCTCTCCCTCTTTCCACCCCTTCCTCTCCCTCTTTCAACCCCTTCCTCTCCCTCTTTCAACCCCTTCCTCTCCCTCTTTCCACCCCTTCCTCTCCCTCTTTCAACCCCTTCCTCTCCCTCTTTCAACCCCTTCCTCTCCCTCTTTCAACCCCTTCCTCTCCCTCTTTCCACCCCTTCCTCTCCCTCTTTCCACCCCTTCCTCTCCCTCTTTCAACCCCTTCCTCTCCCTCTTTCAACCCCTTCCTCTCCCTCTTTCAACCCCTTCCTCTCCCTCTTTCAACCCCTTCCTCTCCCTCTTTCAACCCCTTCCTCTCCCTCTTTCAACCCCTTCCTCTCCCTCTTTCAACCCCTTCCTCTCCCTCTTTCAACCCCTTCCTCTCCCTCTTTCAACCCCTTCCTCTCCCTCTTTCAACCCCTTCCTCTCCCTCTTTCAACCCCTTCCTCTCCCTCTTTCAACCCCTTCCTCTCCCTCTTTCCACCCCTTCCTCTCCCTCTTTCAACCCCTTCCTCTCCCTCTTTCAACCCCTTCCTCTCCCTCTTTCAACCCCTTCCTCTCCCTCTTTCAACCCTTCCTCTCCCTCTTTCAACCCCTTCCTCTCCCTCTTTCAACCCCTTCCTCTCCCTCTTTCAACCCCTTCCTCTCCCTCTTTCAACCCCCCCATCCCAGGCACGCACCTCTCGCCCCACCTGCCCACTCGGCCCACCCCACCACCCCCTCTCGCCCTCTGGAGAGCCCACCACCATCCCTGGCTCTCTGCCTGTACGCCGCTGCTCCCCACGCACTCATTAAATCCCAACTCCTTTCTCTATCCCTCTCCCTCTCCCTCTCCCCATCCCCATCCCCATCCCCATCCCCATCCCAGGCACGCACCTCTCCCTCATGGGATCCCCAGCCATGCCTGCCGCATCTTCCCGCCTCCCACCGCCTCGTCCTCTGGAGAGCCCATCAGCCCTGGCTCTCTGCCTTCCCACCGCTGCTCTCCCCGCGCTGCCTTTCTTCTCGCCCTTCATTGCCCCGCCGCCGCCTCTGGAGAATGCGGAAGTGGAGATGCACAGGAGAGTCATGCAGGTGAGTGAGTGGGACAGCCCCTCTCGTTGTCTGTGAGTGGGACAATCCCTCTCGCCCTCTGGAGCGCCCATCAGCCCTGGCTCTATGCCTGCACGCCACATCTCTATCTCTCTCCCCGCGCTGCCTTTCTTCTCGCCCTTCATTGCCCCGCCGCCGCCTCTGGAGAATGCGGAAGTGGAGATGCACAGGAGAGTCATGCAGGTGAGTGAGTGGGACAGCCCCTCTCGTTGTCTGTGAGTGGGACAATCCCTCTCGCCCTCTGGAGCGCCCATCAGCCCTGGCTCTATGCCTGCACGCCACATCTCTATCTCTCTCCCCGCGCTGCCTTTCTTCTCGCCCTTCATTGCCCCGCCGCCGCCTCTGGAGAATGCGGAAGTGGAGATGCACAGGAGAGTCATGCAGGTGAGTGAGTGGGACAGCCCCTCTCGTAGTCTGTGAGTGGGACAATCCCTCTCGCCCTCTGGAGCGCCCATCAGCCCTGGCTCTATGCCTGCACGCCACATCTCTCTCTCTCCCCGCGCTGCCTTTCTTCTCGCCCTTCATTGCCCCGCCGCCGCCTTTGGAGAATGCGGAAGTGGCGATGCACAGGAGAGTGATGCAGGTAAGCGACACAGTTACCCTCCCCATCTCTCCCCTCGTTTCACCCCATGCTCCCTGCCTGCCCACCACATCGCTTCCCAACCTTCCTCTCCTCCCAACCTTCCTCTCCTCCCAACCTTCCTCTCCTCCCAACCTTCCTCTCCTCCCAACCTTCCTCTCCTCCCAACCTTCCTCTCCTCCCAACCTTCCTCTCCTCCCAACCTTCCTCTCCTCCCAACCTTCCTCTCCTCCCAACCTTCCTCTCCTCCCAACCTTCCTCTCCTCCCAACCTTCCTCTCCTCCCAACCTTCCTCTCCTCCCAACCTTCCTCTCCTCCCAACCTTCCTCTCCTCCCAACCTTCCTCTCCTCCCAACCTTCCTCTCCTCCCAACCTTCCTCTCCTCCCAACCTTCCTCTCCTCCCAACTTCGCATTCTTCCCACCCTTCGTTACCCCGCCATGCCCCCTGTGAAACGCACAAGTGACTCTCTGCTATAAAGCGACACATGTGAGGGATATAGGACAGCGTGCACTGGAGAGGAAAATGACCGGATAGCACAGCAACATGGGCTGGCAGGGCATGTAATATAGATGTGTCGCAGAGAAGAGCAGAGATATACACCTCCATGGATGCTAATTGGCTATGTAATTCTGCTATCAACCCTTTTTTTGTCCGTGTGTTTCTGTTTGTTTCACCTGAACGTCACCTGTTCAGGAGATCGCCAACCTGACGGCTCACCTGAAAGGCGACCCAACAAATGCGCACCTGCTGCTGGAACGAGGTGAGGCTCCGTGGTCCTCCGGTGAGCCTAATTCGCCCTCGCCTGAAAGGGTGACGACAGTGGCAAGGCTGCTTCACGTTGTGACTTTTGGTTGAGTTGACTTTTGGCGGGGCAAAACGTGAAAAAATCTAAAAAACACCCTCGCCTGCAAGGTGACAGTGGCGAGGCTCATTTACTCCACTCCGCTGTAAAGCGTGAGTGCGTCTGCACATGCATGTGAGCACGTGAGGGGAATATATGCAGACACGCACTCTTTTTCTCTCACCTTTGTCACACCATTCCCCCAGGGAGTGCGTGGTTCAGCATCCACCGCTTCCCACAGGCCATAGTGGATGGCCAGCAATCCGGTACCCTCTTGGGTTGTTGTTCGTCAACTCACAAGTTAACCAGCCCTCGTTATTGTCACACTACCCCGTCTTCCCCCCCCCCCCCCCCACCAGGCAAGGCGTGGTACAGTATCCATCGCTACAGGATCGCTATGGCAGCGAGCCGTGGCCCTCCTGGGTTCTGAACAGACTTTTGAGAATTCTAAAAAATCGCTCACATGGGTTTTGAACCGACTAGCAAGTTCACCAACCCTCCTTATTGTCACACTATCCCGCCCTCCCCCTCCCCCAGGCAAGGCGTGGTACAGCATCCACCGCTTCCCAGAGGCCATAGCGGACCGGCAGTGGGCCGTGGCCCTCTTGGCAGCCTCTTCTGCTCACTCCAACACTCACAGCAGCGGGGGCAGTGGGAGCAGTGAGCGCAGTCTTGGTGGCTACCACCCCTCCGACCTGCCACGAGCGCTGCTCTCCCTGGTACGCTGCTGCTCTCCCTGGTACGCTGCTGCTCTCCCTGGTACGCTGCTGCTCGCCCTGGCACGCTGCTGCTGCGTTCCCTTCCCTGTTGATGCGCCTCAAAAGCATGCGCACTGCGCTCTTGGGCTTCCCCCACTGATCCCTCCGCTCCCACTGCGCTCTTGGGCTGTAGCAGACCGTCAGCGGCCTGATGGGCAGCGGTGGCAGTGGAAGCAGTGGGGGAAACGACCCTGATCTGCCATGAGATCAGTGAGAGTGGTGTGGGAGTGGTGAGATCAGTGGAGGAAGGGAAGATACCCACTGATCTGCCATGAGCTCTGCTCTCCTCTCCCTGCCCCCACGTGCTCCCACCACTCATTCATTCAACCCCTTTTCGTGCTTGCCCATCCCTCCGATTATCTTCCTCTCCTATGTGCGGCAGGCAGGACGCAGGGTGGGTGGGTGGGCTGGATTTCTCAAAAGACACTTCTTGAGATTTTGAAAAGCCAGGCTACAAAGGTTTAAGAATCACCAAATGCTTATGTAAAATATATGCCCATGCCCATTGAACCCCCCCCCCCCCCCCTCCCATACTATTCCATCCCCTTGTTCCCTCCCCAGGGGCAAGCCCTACACACAGCAGGCAGGGTGTAGGAAGCAGGGTGGTGGGTTAAGGGACGCGCAGTGCTTTGCTGTTTGTCTCTGCCAATCCAACCCTCTCCCCGCCCAACACAGCAGGCAGGGTGCATGGAAGGGCCCCTAGCACTTCCCCACCCTCCTGTTCAACTCCCTCCCATCTTTGCCTGTCCCTTCCCCGTGGTGCCTCTATCAGGGCGAGGCACTACACGCAGCAGGCAGGGTACAGGAAGCAGTGGAGGCCAACGAACGCGGTGCCACTCTCCTCTCATCCACAAACATGCTTGGCTGCTTGACTATCTCCCTCACTCCATCTCCCAGAGCGGGGCTTTACACGCAGCAGGCAGGGTGCAGGAAGCAGTGGAGGCCAAGGAATGCGCTGCCGCCCTCCTCTCATCCAGTCCTTTTCCATCCCCCCATCTTTGCCAATTCAACCCCCTCCCCTCCCATCCTTGCCTATCCCCCTTCGCCCTTGAATCAGGGCGAGGCGCTACACACAGCAGGCAGGGTGCAGGAAGCAGTGGAAACCAATGAACGCGCTGCCGTCCTCCTCTCATCCCTAAACCTCACCAGCCCTGCTACGTCAGCGCCCAGCTCTTCTGCTGCCACGTCAGCAGAAGACACGTCAGAAGCTGCCAGCTTAGCAGAGTGGGTGATGACGACGTCAGCGGCGTGGACGCTGGTGGGGCTGTCGTACCATTGGCTGCCGGATGCTGACAAGGCTGAGAGGGCATTCCGATTGGCTGTTGAGGCGGACCCCCGGTGAGTACTGGTTTCAATCGAAGTCAATGGGTTTTGAAATTTCTCAAGTTAAGGGTACTATGTTCAGGTTCAGGGGCACTGGGCGATGCATAGCTGAGGCGCCCTGACTGTGTAGGTAGGCCTAGACTTACAGGCAGTGTCAGCGGTGTGGGCGGTGGTGGGGCTGTCCTACCATTGGCTGCCAGACGCTGACAAGGGTGAGAGGGCGTTTCTATTGGCCGTTGAGGCGGACCCCCGGTGGGTGAGAGGGGAGGGGGGATAACAGGAGTACTGGGTTTCTCTTTGAGAATCTCCAGAGGAATACTAGGTTCAGGGAAAATAGCTGACCCTTCCTTCCTTACTGTGTGAGACTAGTGTGTGAGACTAGGCTTACTGTCATTGGGGTCGCTTCAAAGCATTCCCAAAAGAGCACGTTCCTTGAAGTACATTCCCACTAGGTTTTTTAAGTTCCTCAAAGACTGCGATGTTGGAGCCTTTTTTTACTCGAAAAAAAAAACCAAGAAACGTATTTTCAGGGGCACTGGGGGCGATACGAACTATAGCTGGTCCTCCACTGATGTCTGAGACTTGGCTTATAAGCACTGGGCAATGTACTATGGTATGGGGGATGAGAGGTGAGGGATGCTTATGAGCACTGCGCATTTTAGAGCTCCTACTTCCCACATTTCAACCCGCCATTGCTACACCACCACACCACACTCGTCTCCTCTCCTCCACTTCCTCTCCCCACCCTCCTCCGATGCTGAAGCGCAGCAACCCCGAGGCCTACAAACACTGATCCACAAGTCTCCTCTCCTCCTGTCCCTGTCTGCCCCCCACACCGTCTTCTCTTGGCTCCCCCCTTTTGCTGCAGTGCACGCATGCCCATGGGCAGGCAATGTAACCCCCAAGGCTTACACGCATGGGCAACAAGCACTGCACCACAAGTCTCTTCCCCCACTCTCCCCCCCCCCTTTGCTGCAGCGCAGTGAACCGTGAGGCCTACCAGCACTGGGCAGGCAATGCACCGACAGCCCACAGGAGGCCTGAAAAGTCAGGCAATGCGGCTACAGGCACCCCAAGGATAAACCACAAGGCATCTTCTCTCCCCTGCGCTCCGTTCCCTCTCCTTTACTGCAGCGCAGGAATCCTAAGGCCTACCAGGGTTGGGCAATGCACCGACAGGAGCAGGCTACAGGGGACCTGACAAGTAAGGCCATTTGGATACATGCAGCAAGGAGACTTGAGAAGGCCATGTGGATAAACCATTGTGAGTGAGTTTTGAGAATTCTAAAAAATCACTCGTGTGGATAAACCACAAGGCCTCGCCTCTCCCCTCCCCTCCCCTGTTCGCTCCAGCGCAGGAACCCCAAGGCCTACCAGAGTTGGGCAATGCACCGTCGGATGGCAGGGGATTTGAAGTGAGTGAGAGGTCACAGCGAGGCCATGGGGTTGCAAGCACCCCAAGGCTTACCAGCACTGGGCATGGCTGGACAGGCACTGAACCACAAGGCCTCACCTCTCCCCTCCCCTCCCCCGTTCGCTCCAGCGCAGGAACTCCAAGGCCTACCAGAGTTGGGCAATGCACCGACAGGAACAGGCAACAAGGGACCTGATAAGTAAGGTAATGCGGCTACAGGCACCCCAAGGATAAACCCCAATGCCTCTCCTCTCTGCTCCTCCCCCTTTGCTCCAGTGCAGGAACCCCAAGGCCTACCAGCACCGGGCAATGCACCGACGGATGGCAGGGGACCTGAAGTGAGTAAGAGGTCAAAGGGGCTTGGGGCTGCAAGCACCCTAAGGCTTACCAGCACTGGGCATGGGTGGACGGGCACTGAACCCCTTGGCCTCTCCTCTCGTCCCCGCTTTCCCTCCTTTGCTCCAGTGCAGGAACCCCAAGGCCTACCAGGGTTGGGCAATGCACCGACGGATGGCAGGGGATTTGAAGTGAGTAAGAGGTCAAAGGGGCGTGGGGCAACTGGGAGTGAGGGAGAGCGAGTGGAGTGTGAGAAAGAGAGGGAGGATGGAGTGGTAGGTGTATGAGTCGGAGTATAAGGGAGGTGGAAGCAAGATGACTTTTGATGAGTCGACTCAAAAAGGGAGAGTGAGTGTGGTGTGTGAGAAAGAGAGGGAGGTTGGAGTGGTAGGTGTATGAGTCGGAGTATAAGGGAGTTGGAAGCGCAGCAACTCCAAGGCTTACCCGCACCGGGCTGTGCACCGCCGGGCGATAGAGGACTTGAAGTGAGTGCGAGGTCAACATGCCGATGGGAAGGTGGGAATGGAGTGGAGGAGCAAGTGAAAAGAGTCGGAGTAAAAGGAAGTTGGAAGCACAGAAACCCCAAAGCTTACCAGCACTGGGCAGTGCACCGCCGGGCGATAGGGGACTGAAGTGAGTGCGAGGGCACAAAGTGCGCGTGGCAACTTCTGAGGCGCCTCAAAACTGGGGAATGCACAGCCAGGTGACAGGGGACTTGAACTAAGTGCCATTGCAAAATGTGTGCGGCAGCTGCGAGTGGGAAGGGGGAATCGTGTGAGAGAGTTTGGACTGGGGGAGGGAGTTAACTTTGGGACGAACGAGGTCACATTGCTATCAGCACCATCCCGTCTCTCTCTCTCTCTCTCTCTCTCTCTCTCTCTCTCTCTCTCTCTCTCTCTCTCTCTCTCTCTCTCTCTCTCTCTCTCTCTCTCTCTCTCTCTCTCTCTCTTATACCATTTCCTGCCGAAATTCAAACTACCAGTGCCGTTCCTCTCCTCGACGAGTGCTTCTCCCTCCTTGTCCTATTTGTCCAACCGTCGCCGTTCTTCCTCTAAAGTGATGCCCTTCCCTCCCCAAGCCAAAGAGCCCTTTCCTCTCCTTGTTGAATGGCTTACCCTCACGCCATCAGAACATCACGCCATCATGCCATCATGCCATCATGCCCTCATGCCCTCATGCCATCATGCCCCCATGTCCTGATGCCCTCATACCCTCCTGTGTACGTGCTTGCTCTTCCTCCCCCACACGCCATCCCTCTCCTCACCAACTGGTTATCCTTCGCCCCTCTTGCTACACCTCCAACGGTTACTCCTCTGTCTCTCCTTCCCTCTTCTCCCCTCCCCCTCACCAGGGGCACCATTCCCCTCCTCACCAACTGGTTCTCTCTTGCCCCTCGCTCGCACCCCCAAGGCCCACTCGTCTTTCTCTGCTTCCCATCCTTTCCCCTCCCACCTCTTCCTCTTCTCCCCACACCCACACCAGGGGCACCATTCCTCTCCTCACCAACTGGTTCTCCCTCGCCCCTTGTACCCCCAAGGCCCACTCGTCTTTCTCTCCTTCCCATACCATCCTCCTATCCCTTCCCCCATACCCACACCAGGGGCACCATTCCTCTCCTCGCCGACTGGTTCTCTCTCGCTCCCCGCACCCCCAAGGACCATCTCACCCTGGGCTGCTGTCGTCAGGCTCTGGGGCACATGGCACATGCAGTGAGTGCAGCACTGGCCGGGTTTGGGGTTTAGGGTTCCACTTGTCCCCCGCAACCCCACTTCACACCCCCAAGGGCCAGCTCGCCTTGGGCTGTTGTCGCCAGGCTCTGGGGCACATGGCACATGCGGTGAGTGCAGCACTGGTAGGGTTCGGGGTTTAGGGTTCCACTTTTCTGTCACAACCCCCCATCAAACCCCCAAGGACCATCTCGCCTGGAGCTGTTGTCGGCAGGCTCTTGGGCACGTGGCACATGCTGTAAGTGTTATGCCCATTCACCCATGCCCATTCACGCATACATAATCCCATGTACCCATTCCCACATACCCATACTCACACATATCGCTTCACATATGCCCCTGCACTCATGCCTATCGCCATCATCCATCACCACCCTCCACCGCAAACCACCGTTCACCACCGCACGCCACCACCCACCACCGCACACCACCGTGCAGGTATCCGCATTCACTCGCATCATTGACGCCCCATCTGACCCTCAAGATGCGCCCATCCTCTTCCACGCCTTCTACCAGGTCAGGAGCGGTGGGGAGTGGTAGGTGCCTTGTAGGGAACTACCTTGTGTGGCTTCTACAGATTGGCGTGGCACCCTGTCCGACCCTCTAGATGTGCCCATCCTCTTCCACGCCTCCCACCAGGTAGGCTGTAGGAACAATATGTGCCTTCAACGGATTTGCTAGGTGGTTTCCAGAGAATTTACCAGGTAATACCAAGGAAAATCCCCAATCCCCTTGCTAGCTTGTAGATCTGCCTCATTTAACTCCCAATCCCCTTGCTAGCTTGTAGATCTGCCTCATTTAACTCCCAATCCCCTTGCTAGCTTGTAGATCTGCCTCATTTAACTCCCAGTCCCCTTGCTAGCTTGTTGGAGGTGTTGCACTATCTCTATGTCTCCCTCCCTGCTTCCTTTATCTCCTCTCCCCTCTCCCCTCTCGCAGCGTGAAATTGCCACATTCACGGCAATGCAGCTTGACAGCTCTTTCAGTGACTTCTCCATCGAAGGCGCGTTCAGCACCAAGTTCCTGGTGAGGGCACGTCACGGGTGTGGGAAGGGAGGGAGGTGGTGAAGCACCAAACCACCCTGTAGTGCTTCCCTATAAATAAGGCATATTTATAGGCAATGACATCCGTTGTAGTCTAGTCGGTTAGGATACTCGGCTCTCACCCGAGAGACCCGGGTTCAAGTCCCGGCAACGGAAGGGCTTTTGTTTGTTTCTGACAAATCAACTCGATGTGCGGTTAGATGAAACTTAATCACGAGTAGTGGCTGAGCAACTAGAGTTTTTCTTTCATTCTTTCGCTAGGTATTGCTATTTCTTTCCCCTGTGCTGTCGCTCCAGCTCTCAAATTCATTGCTTCAGAACCCCTGGCTCCTTGGTCGACTACAAATCAGCCAACACGAAGGGCCCAAGAAACCTCTTATTCTACACCACTGTTTCGCAGCTTGATAATTTCTAAAAATAACCTTGCTAAGAATCAACCTTCAGAATATTTTGAAATGACCTTGCTAAGAAACAACCTTGAGAATTATAACCTGCAAACAAAAGGAGGACCCACGAAACCCTCTTCTTCCACACCGTTCCATGTTGCCTTGCTGTGCTGCTTCTCCTGCTCTGTTTTGTGCCCCTCACCGTTCTCGTCACCTGCCCCGCCCCATCCCCACAACTCCTTCAGAACCACTATGAGCTCAAGAAGGATTCAAGAAACCTCTTCCCTTTCCGTCTTCCCTTTCCGTCTTCCCTTTCCGTCTTCCCTTTCTGTCTTCTCTTTCTGTCTTCCCTTTCCGTCTTCCCTTTCCGTCTTCCCTTTCCGTCTTCCCTTTCCGTCTTCCCTTTCTGTCTTCTCTTTCTGTCTTCCCTTTCCGTCTTCCCTTTCCGTCTTCCCTTTCTGTCTTCTCTTTCCGTCTTCCCTTTCCGTCTTCCCTTTCTGTCTTCTCTTTCTGTCTTCCCTTTCCGTCTTCCCTTTCCGTCTTCCCTTTCTGTCTTCTATTTCTGCCTTCCCTTTCCGTCTTCCCTTTCCGTCTTCTCTTTCTGTCTTCCCTTTCCGTCTTCCCTTTCCGTCTTCCCTTTCCGTCTTCTCTTTCTGTCTTCCCTTTCCGTCTTCCCTTTCCGTCTTCTCTTTCTGTCTTCCCTTTCTGTCTTCCGTTTCCGTCTTCTCTTTCTGTCTCCCCTTTCCGTCTTCCCTTTCTGTCTTCCCTTTCCGCCTTCTCTTCCCGTCTTCCCTTTCGGTCTTCATACCCTTCCTGTCCTATCCCCTCAACCTCAGAACCACTGGGCATAGAAGGAGGATCCGAGAAACCTCTTCCCCAGCTATGCCATGCTGCCCATTTCTACTTCTCTTAGCCTTCTTCCTTCTTCCTTACCCTTCCGGTCGCCTGTCCCTTCCTGTCTCCTTTTCTTCCCATCTACCACCACCGCTTTCAGAACCACTGGGCATACAAGAAGGATCCGAGTAACCCCTTTCTCGGCTATGCCATGCTTCCCCAGGCTGCTGCCTTTGCTCCCTTCCTCTCTCCTTACACTTATTGATTGTCCCCTTATGCCCCATACCCCTTCACCCCACCCCCTTCAGAACCACTGGGCATACAAGAAGGATCCGAGAAACCTCTTCCCCGGATATGCCATGCTGCCCCATGCTGCTGCCTTTGCTCCCCGCCACCCGCCTAGACGAGCGGCAGAGGAGGACGAGAGGGAGAGGGAATGGGTGGTTCAGGCGGCGGATCTTATTGGTCGGCGAGTACAGTACAGCAGCGTCGGCAACGTTGTGAACAGGAGAGCGGTGAGCAATGGTTCTGGGGTTGGGTGGGGATGGAGGAAGAGATGGGGAGAGTGGCTGGTTTAAGGCTGGCAGTTCTAATTGGGTGGCGTGTGTGTGCAGTACAGCTGTGTGGCTAATTTTTCAGCGCCTCAATACTAGATTGGGTGGCGTGTGCAGTACAGCTGTGTGGCAACGTTGAGAGTAGGAGAGCGGTGAGCACTGGTGGTTGGGTGGTATGGAGAATATTGTACATGTACATACGTTTACGTTTACGCTGTAATGTACGATTACGTGGGTTGTTAGTTAGGACGTACGTACGGACCCATCTAAGGCGTGTAGCACAGCGCTGTTGGAAAATGTTGTGAATAGGAGAGCGGTGAGCAGAGGGGTGCGGGATGAAAGGGGCGAATGGATGGTTCGGGCAGTTGACTGGATTGAGTGGTGTGGTGAGCAGAGGGGTGGGTGCATGCAGTGCAGCGCTGCTGGCAACGTTGTGAGTAGGAGAGCGGTGGCACAGGGTAGCAGGCATGGCAGCGGTGAAAGTGAAGCAATCAGCACGCCCCATTCACTCCTACACGAATCCCTTCAATCCTCTTCACCGCTCTTCACCTGCTTTTCTAACCCACTTTCACCCAGTTGTTCTTCGACTGGCAGCACAGGGCAGCGGGCATGGCAGCGCCGGAAGTGATGCAATAAGAACGCACCTGTTCACTCCTATGCAACTCCCTGTACTCCTTGTCACCGCTCTTCACATGCCATTTTCCCCTCCCTCTCCCCCCTTCTTCCCTTTGCATCACGTTGGTTTCACCCGCCTGCAGCACAGGGCAGCGGGTATGGCAGCACCGGAAGTGATGCAATCACTCCTCGTCACCGCTCTTCAATCCCTGTTTACCCCCATTCTCCCTGATGTTCTTTTCCAATCGACAGCACAGGGCAACGGGTATGGCGGCATTGGAAGTGATGCAATCAGCACGCGCCATTCGCTCCTATGCAACTCCCGTCACTCCTTGTCACCGCTCTTCACCCCTGTGTACCCCCATTCACCGTGCATTCGTTTTTTTTTTCTTCTTCTTTTTACTGGCAGCAAAGGGCAGCAGGTATGGCGGCGCTGGAAGTGATGCAATCAGCACGTGCCACGTGGCGGCAGTGGGACAGGAGAAACCAACAGAAAGGAGTGAAGGAGGAAGGGGGGCCTGCAGATGCGTCGGAAGAGAGGGGGGATGAGAAGGAAAACGAGGAGGAGGATGAGGATGACGATGACGATGACTATGATGACGAGGAAGAGGAGGGGGAAGGGATGGGGATGGTGGTGGAAGGGTGGAAGGGGTTGTTTGCCATCGGAGCGAGATGGAGGCAGTTGGTGGATCCATGCGAGCCAGTTGCGTGGACAGAGACGCTCAGGTGAGAGTGGTTTGTGTTGAGGGGTGAAGGAGTTGTGGTGACAGTAGGGATGTGCGTTGGGGTGGTAAGAGTACGACAGTAGGTGGGAGGGTGGAAGGGGTTGTTTGGCATTGGGCTGAGGTGGAGGCGGCTGGTAGACCCGTGCAAGCCGGTGGTTTGGACGGAAACTCTCAGGTGTGGTGCGGTGAGGTGCTGTGTGGCGCGGTTGGGTGTGAGTGGATAATGAGAGGCATGGGGTCGAGGTGGGAGCAGCTGGTGGACCCATGGGACTGGTGGTTTGGACGGAAACTCTCAGGTGCGGTGCGGTGCGATGCAGTGCAATTGGGTGTGAGAGGATGATGAGGGGCATTGGTGCGAGATGGATCATGGAGGCAGCTGGTGGACCCGTGTGAGCTGCTCGTGCGGACAGAGATTTTGAGGTGAGATTGGGTGTGCATTGAAGGGGGAAGGAGTTGGTGCGGTGCAATGCGATGCGGTGCGATGCGAGCCGGTAATCTGGACGGGGAGACACTCAGGTGCGGTTGGGGTGAAGGGGGTGGGAGTTGGGGTGAAGGAAATCGAGACGAGCCACTCACGTTGGGGAAACACTCACGTTGGAGTGCTCACTCACGTTGGAGTGCTCACTCACGTTGGAGTGCTCACTCACGTTGGAGTGCTCACTCACGTTGGAGTGCTCACTCACGTTGGAGTGCTCACTCACCTCCGTTTTTATAATCAACTAGGTGAGATGAGAATGCTCATTCCCTTCCCCCACACGTTCCCCTCCCCAACCCCAACCCCAACCCCTGCATCTGGTTCTACTCGGTTGGAGTAGGAAATCATCTCTTTCTCCCCCCGCATCAGTTTATACTCTGTCCTGGCACTCTTGAAGAAGTGTTTTGAGACGTCTCAAGATAGGTGGGATACTTCTTCAAAGAAGTGTCCCCTGGCACACTTCTTCAAACACGTCCAAGATAGGTGGGCGTTCAGAGGCGATGGCTACGACCTGGCACTCTTTCTACCCACTATTCCCCCCCCCCCCCCCTTTTCTCTTTGTCCGCCACTCCACCCTCTCCATCCCGCAGTCCCCCACTCCATTCTTCACCCTCACCACTCCTCAGCACTCCTCACAAACTCCCCTTCGCCCCCCAACACCCCCATCTTCTTCTCTTACCCTAAACTCTTCATCCCTTCCACCCCCCTGCACCCCCCCGCACCCCCGTGCGCCCATCTAAAGGAGTGCCGACACCTCTCCGCTGGGCAACTCAGTAACGCCCATCTCAGTGTTCCGCCAACTCACCACCACCAGCTATTCCCTCTTCATCCCTCTCACACCCACCTGCATCCCCCTGCACCCCCTTGCACCCTTCTGAAGGAGTGCCAATCCCACTCTGGTGGGCAACTCAGTAACGCCCATCTCAGTGTTCCGCCAACTCACCACCAAATATGCCGACTACTACAACAGGTGCACTGACTATGCTGCAGGGTACTATAACAGGTACAGTCACCAAGCACCTTGCTTGTCTGTCTTGATGACTCCTCTCCGAGTTCTCTACCAACCAAACACAGTACTTGGCTAAATGTAGGAGACACAAATAAACATGGTGCAATGCAGTGTTACACCAGCCAGCAGCACAATATCGGTCTGTCTGTCTGTCTGTCTGTCTGTCTGTCTGTCTGTCTGTCTGTCTGTCTGTCTGTCTGTCTGTCTGTCTGTCTGTCTGTCTGTCTGTCTGTCTGTCTGTCTGTCTGTCTGTCTGTCTGTCTGTCTGTCTGTCTGTCTGTCTGTCTGTCTGTCTGTCTGTCTGTCTGTCTGTCTGTCTGTCTGTCTGTCTGTCTGTCTGTCTGTCTGTCTGTCTGTCTGTCTGTCTGTCTGTCTGTCTGTCTTGGTGACCCCGTCATTCTCGCTCGCAGCTATTACGTGTTCCTGCTCCCATCAGGACCATCTCAAGCCTCAAGGGCCGCATGGCTCAGCAACAGCAGTACCACCATGTGGGTTCAGCACCCCTTGAATCCCTCCCATTCACATCAATCACCCATGCCTGCTCTCCTCCCCTCCCACCTTTCCCCATCAGAACCATCTCAGTGCTTAAGAGCATCATGCAACAGCAGCGCCATGCGGTTTCCAGCACGGACAGCCTGCTGCCCATAGCAATCATCCTCCTTTCCTGCTCTCGCCCTCCCATCCCCATCAGAACCCTCTCAGTCCTCAAGAGCATCATGCAGCAGCAGCACCATGTGATCTCCAATGTGGATGACCGGCGCATTCCCCTCTCAGAGGCGGATGTCTCCAGGGTGAGTGGATAAAGCATGGATAGCTTTTGAGTCGACTTTTTGGGAATTCTCAAAAACCAGTGAGTGGATAAAGCATGGATAGCTTTTGAGTCGACTTTTTGGGAATTCTCAAAAACCAGTGAGCGGATAAAGCATGGATAGCTTTTGAGTCGACTCAAAAGTCACCAGGGTGAGCCATGGATAGCTTTTGAGTCGACTCAAAAGTCACCAGGGTGAGCCATGGATAGCTTTTGAGTCGACTCAAAAGTCACCAGGGTGAGCCATGGATAGCTTTTGAGTCGACTCAAAAGTCACCAGGGTGAGCCATGGATAGCTTTTGAGTCGACTCAAAAGTCACCAGGGTGAGCCATGGATAGCTTTTGAGTCGACTCAAAAGTCCACCAGGGTGAGCCATGGATAGCTTTTGAGTCGACTCAAAAGTCACCAGGGTGAGCCATGGATAGCTTTTGAGTCGACTCAAAAGTCACCAGGGTGAGCCATGGATAGCTTTTGAGTCGACTCAAAAGTCACCAGGGTGAGCCAGCCATGGATAGGGGTCTCTTATACGCTCTCTGCACATTTGGTAACCAGCGCACTCACCTCTCACAGGGAGATGTTGGCAGGGTGGGTGAGTGGGAAATGGAGTGCTGTATGTGCTGTATGGAGCATACGATCCGTTTGGCCTTTTTCATCAAAGGTTTCTTTCCTCTTGTGGCTCCGTGGCATTCCTTCATCCATGCCTCTTCCCCATGCCTCATCCCCATGCCCCTTCCCCATACTACATCCCCATGCTACATCCCCATGCTATACGTTACATCACCACATATGGCGCATCACAGATAGAGGCAGCAGCAACGGAGTACGATCTGTTTGACATTGACGGCCAAAGCCTGATTGTTGTCACTCCTCCATGTCCCATCCCCATTCCCCCATGGGCCATCCCCCCATGGGCCATCCCCATTCGCCATCCCCCCATGCTCCATCCCCATTCCCCATCCCTCTACTGTCAGGAACTAGAGCTTAGAATCCATGCATTAGTAATGAGCTTGAAGTTCTTTAAGTACATCGAGGATGGGCAAGCAATGGAGGGGGAAGGGAATCGGGGGCAATCTCTAGGGATTGGGGGTAATCCCAAGGCAATCTCCAATTGGTGGGTTGGAGATTGCTTGGAGATCACATTTGGGTTTGGTTGGGATGTGGGTGTACACCCAACCAAACACAAAGTGCAAACTACACTACGCAATGAAAAAAGAAAGTACAAAATACAAAGTGTGAGATTGAGGGCTAACACTAACACCCCCCCAAAGACGTCAATCGAACTCAAGGCAGAGAAGGTGGAGCACAGAGCCCCATGACGCCAAGTAGGCAGTGGTGAGGGACTTTCCCAAGGGGCTTGGTGAACAGATCAGCCAAGTTGCAGTCAGATGCAA